TGCACTTGCAGGGTTCCTCGACTTCCCTTACTGAGATGGGCGCATCATGTCCTCTGAGGATGGAGACTCTTTCTCTTTCCTGCTGCAGGCAAAGAGGCTGGCTTCTGGCTGTGTTTGTGCAAGTCTGCTGTGCACAGCCAGTAGCATGCTGAAGTCCACCGTCTATACACCTAAACAGGCCAATATAAAGTGCATCCAAACCAAGAATTACACAACGGTAATCTCAGCCCCAAGGGGCATCTACCCAGCACCCTGGGTCTCTGTCCTTCCCCACCAGGGCAGTGGCTGTGCTCTGCTCGGCTGGCTGGAAACAGCAGGGCTTTGTCCTTATCCTGTGTCTCAAGGATCCTGAAAGCTCAAGGGGCTGCATGCACACGGCTTCCTTGAACTTCAATTATTGACACTGCAGCTCTCAAGAAGCCATGAGGACCACAGGCGCCACTGACTGAAAGGAAGCGGAGTTTCCCATCTGTTCAGGCAAAACCCTCTTTTCTGACCAAATGAGGGCACTTAATTGGAAGTCCCCCCCACCCCATCTCTGCTACTCCCAAATCTCAAAACTTCCTGCAAAAAAGACTGGGTTGGGGATATGGGGGGCGGGTGTGCAGAAAGGATTCTGGGAATTGTGAAAACACCTCCTCCAGAAGCTTAGAAAGTCAACTGACCCCAGGCCCCAGCAGCGTGGGCGTTAGAGTTACTTACAAGATCAGGCATGACTGAAACACTGGTTTCCCTGAGAAGTGTGTCATGGAGCCTGACCTTCAGGCAACCTTCCACCCCTTACATACAACAGCTCCACGTGATGAGCATGCGCGCATGGAGGTGGGGGAGCTGGCAGGCGTGCTGAATCTCTGAACGCGCACCTGGTCCCAGGGGAAGGTCTGGGAATTCTCCCTTCTTTCTACCAGCGAGTGTTAATAGGCTAATTAGCGTAGACCTAGGGGCAGTTTGGTTTGTTTATTTCCACCCCAGATGGTCATTTACTCCATCAGTGAGGAGGGTAGTTGTTCATGTCTGGAGCCATCTCTGAGCTCTTAGGTCCTAGTGTGGTGGGTGTGACAGTATAGAGTATGTGTGTGTGTGTGGGGGGGGTTGTGATGGGTATAGGGGATTCAGGACCCTGTCCCCTCCCAATCCGCTCTCTTTGTATTGGCTCTCTGGAGTGAGTGACTTTCAGTCCTTGCCAGGCGTGAATGGTCTGAGTGGCCCCGATTGACTTCTGTGGGTGGAGCACCAGGCCCACCCTTCATTCCAGGGCCTGTCTTTCCTGGCTTCGAAACAGATCTGAGCACAATGTTCCATGCAGCTCTTCAAAAGCCTGGCGTTGAATTACGGTTCCATCACAGAGGTGTTTCCCTCTGTCCTTCATGGCACCGGTGTCCCTGCAACGGTGGCTGCTCCCCGTCCCTGTCTCTCAGTGGTGTGGTAGCTAATTATAGTCAAGTAGGCTCAACAGAGACTCAGCCTGATGGGGAAGGGCGGTTCCTTTTGTCTGTGCCTCCCGCCCCCCAATGCTCAGGGCTGACTGGGCCGTGCTTCACTTGGCCCTGGTACAGTGGGCAGAGGGAGCAGCTAAGTCCAGAGAGTGGGCTTTGGAGCCAGGTCGGCTCCTACCCAGGGTGATGTGGCGTCCTGCTTTCCCGTGTCATCTTCCATTTCTGTGGCAGTGGGTGAAACTTCCCTTGGCAGTCGCTACTCAGCACTGGGGCTCATGCGGCTCAGCTCAGCACGGTGGACCCTCTTTGGCCAACAGAAAGGCTGTCCTCTCAGGTGGCCAGCGAGGCCAAGTTTAGATGGCCACTGCCCATGGGGCCTTTGTAACTCCAGAAGGTTCTCTGCTCCCAGAAGACAGCAGCAAGAGACAGCACCCGCCCCCCAACCTCTATCCCCTCCCCTGACTATGGCTCAGGAGCCTGGACTCTGGTGAGAACTGGGCAACTTCTATCCTATTTGGGCTTTTATTGGCCTTGGATGGGGTACAATCCCAGGAAACAGCCAGAGGTAGATTTCTCAGCCTTGGGAGGCCAGCCTCCAGATGGCAGCAAATGTTTAAACCTTAGCCTGAGCTTTAGGAGAACCAGCCTGTGGCTGGAGGGATTCCCACAGAGGGCTAGGAAGGGGGAAGACTTGTGTTTGTAGCCACAGGAAGGTTTTGTGAGCATTCAGGAAAGAATGGAATCCCTTACTGGAAAGGTTGAGGTGAGAATGTGGAAAAGGCAAACGAAGAAAAGGTAGGGGAAGATTTAAACCCGGGCTGGCATTTGGCATTTTTAAGGACTCCTATGGGAAGGTTTTATTTTAAAATTTTTTAAAGCTTTATTTTATTATTTTATGTGTATAAGTGTTTTTGCCTGTTTGTATGGATGTGTACCACATGTGTTCCTGGTGCCCATGGGGGTCAGAAGAGGGCATCAGAACCCCATGGGTTGAGAATAACAGGTGGTTGTGAGCCACCTTGTAGGAGCTGGAAACCAAAACTAGGTCTTCCATAAGAGCAGCCAGTGCTCTTAACTGCTGAGCCACCAGCACAGAGTTTTATTTAAGCTTTAATGGGGTTTAAAAGTTAGGATAACCATCCCCTTGGGTTCTGCTGGAGCCTTGGAGATAGTGGGTACTCAAAGTGAAGTCCAGCTGCAGGACATCCAACAAGAGTAAGTTCATCACAGTGCCAGGCCAGGGAACTGCCAGGAGGTCAGATGAGCAGGCCGGAACTATGGGAAAGCTGGGACTTGTGCACACACAAGGCTGTGTCTCACTCTCAACACTCTGTCTCCGAGTCCTTCACCCCAAACTCTACAGGTAGTCACCGTGGCCTCTCAGTACCCCCACTTCTGGTTGCTCCAGGCTATCCATTCCTCTCACCCCGACTTCCTCATTCCTTCCTTATCTGTCACAGAGTTAAGGTGTCACCATTAGTGCCATTAGCTGAGTAGTCATTCTCTTTTCTGCCCACAGGGAGACTTCATGACAACAAAGACATATTTGTTACTCAGGGCCTAGGATGACTGCGTGTGACCCTCTAAAGATATCTGTGTACATGAGCGGTGAGTGATGTTTTTTAAAGGATTTATTTAATTTTTAATTGTGTGGGGGTATGTGGGGGTATGTCAGTGCAGGTGCAGGTACCCAAAGAGGACAGAAGAGGGCATTGGACTCCCTGGAGCCGGAGTTATGGGTGATTGTGAGCTATAGGACACCGGCGCTGGGAACCCAACTCAGGTTCTCTGCAGGAGGAGCATGTACTCCTAACCACTGAGCCATCTCTCCACAATCAATCTTAGTGGACTGAGACAATATCTTATCTTTCTCTAAACTCCAAAGTATTTAAAGAAGAGCCTTCCTGCCTTGTCCATCATCCTGGTCCCAGAATCGACTGGTGTTATTCTTAAGCTCCATTTGTGTGTGTGTGTGTGTGTGTGTGTGTGTGTGTGTGTGTGTGTGTGTATGTGTGTGTGTGTGTGTAGAGTGCTTCACCTGATGGGGTGAGCCAC